AGCCCCGCACCTGCGAGGCCGGGCCCCCGGGCCTCGATCCGCCCCGCCCTGGCCTGAACCCCGCGTCACCCCGCGGCAGCCTCCGCGACGCGCCTCTGGCCGCACCCAGCTGCTTTTCGTTATTTTTCATCGGCCCTGGGACTTGAACTCCAGGCCAGCGCTCCACCACTGGGAGCCACAGCACCACATTGGGCTTTTTTCTGTGATTAATTGGAGATGAGAGTCTCACGGACTTTCCTGCCCCTTTCCTGCCCCCGGCTGGCTTTGAACCCAGATCCTCAGGTCTCAATCTCCTGAGGACCTAGGATGACAGGCATAAACCGCCGGCTGCTGGCCTCACCCAGCTCTTCTGGCTCAGCTTCTCAGGGGTTCTGTGTGCACAGAGAAAATACTTCCCAGTTCCCCTCCAGGCAGGATAGTTACTCCTAGCGTTTCTTGTCAACACATCCTGACTTTGTAAGATGCTTACTTTATTGTTCTTTTAGAAGTGTTGTGCAGAGGGATTGCAATTACCTGAGTCAGGTAATGAGTACATTTTCCTCCCTCACTGCCTTCCAGTCCCTCCTTCCCATCTCCTTCCGAGAAGTTGTAGAGTCCACTTTCATCAGTGTCCAGTGAGCTCCACTGCTGCACTTTTTCACCCTTTTTCCTCGAGCTCTGTGCCCTCCTCCCATCCCCCTGAAGATATGCACGTGAACACACCGTATAAAAGGTAAAGGAGACCGAATAATCAAAAACTTTAAAAAAAAGTCTTTTGTATCTTGGAGTTCATTTCAGTATGTATTTTATTTTATACAAATAAGAGGAACTTAAGCATTGCACCTTTGTGAGTTTCTCCTGAGTATCCTCTTTTGGTCTCACTGTATGTATCTAGAATTCTGTACCATTTGTCATAACCCGGTACGTTTTTAGATCAAACTTCCACATATCAAAGAGAACATGGGCTGTTTGTCTTTCTGTTCTTGGCTGACCTCACTTAACATGATTTGTTCTAGTTTCATCTATTTCCCTTCAAATGACATTATTTTATTGTTTCTAATGGCTATGTAAAATTCCATTCTACATAGGTACCATGCTTTTTGGATCCACTCATCTACTGTGGGGCATCTGGGTTGTTTCCATATCTTGACTATTGTGAATTGTACAGCAATGAACATGTATGTACAGGTGTCCTTATCATATCCTGGCTCGTAATGTTTAGGGTAGATGCCCAGGGGTATGTGGCTGTGTCATGGGAAAAATCCATGTTTAGATTTTTGAGGAACCTCCAGAGTGACTGTACTATTTTACATTCCCACTATCAGAAAACACCCTTATTTTATTAATTCTGTGTGTGTGTGTGTGCGTAGGCACTGAGGCTTGAACTCAGGGCCTCATTTTCTTACTTAGCTTTTTGTTCACAGCTAGTGCTCTACCACTTGAACCACAGTTCTACTTCCAGCTTTTTGCTGGTTAATTGGATATAGGAGTCTCAAGGGTTTTCCTGCCCCAGCTAGCTTCAAACTGAGATTCTCAGGTCTCATCCTCCTGAATAGTGCAGATTATAGGCATGAGCCACATCTGCCTGGCAGTTTCTAAGGATTTACATACTATCTATGTGAATGATTTCCAGAGGAAACTCATACCTGCCCACAATCTCTTTTTTTGTTTGTTTTCTTATTTTGTGCCAGTCTTAGAGCTTAAACTCATAGCCTGGGTGCTGTCCTTGGCTTTTCTACTCAAGGCTAGTGCTCTATCACTTGAGCCACAGCTATACTTCCAGCTTTTGTTTTGAGTATTTAGAGATAAGGATTTCCCAGGCACCTGGGGTTGGTGGCTCATGCCTGTAATCCTAGCTACTCAGGAGGATGAAATCTGAGGATGGTGGTTCAAAGCCACCCTGGGGGGCTGGGAAGGTGACTCAGAGGTAGAGTGCTTGCCTTGTATGCCTGAGGCACTGAGTTTGATTCCTCAGCACCACATAAGCAAAAAAAAAATTTTTTTTAAATGCCAGAAGTGGCACTATGGCTCAAGTGGTAGGGCACTAGCCTTGAGCTGAAGAGCTGAGGGGCAGCGCCCAGGCACAGAGTTCAGGCTCCACAACTGACAAAAAAAAAAAAAGCCAGCCTGGGCAGGAAAATCCATGAGACTCTTCAATAAACCACAGAAAACCAGAAGTGACACTGTGACTCAAGTGGTAGAGCACTAATCTTGAGCTGAAAAGCTGAAGGACAGTGCCCAGGCCCAGAGTTAAGCCCCACGAACAACCAAAAATAATTATATATATATATAATATATAATATATTATATATATATATATATATAATTTCACAGACTTTCCTGCCCCGTTTAGTTTCCAATCATGATCCTCAGATCTCAGCCTCCTGAGTACCTCAGATTACAAGTGTGAGCACCAGCATCTGACCCTACAGTCTTCTCAATTCTGATCTTAATCAAACAGTCTCAGCCAAGCGCTGGTGACTCATATCTGTAATCCTAGGAGGCTAAGATCTGAGGATCTTGGCTCAAAGCCAGCCCTGGCAGGAAAGTCCATGAGATTCTTACCTCCAATAAACCACTAGAAACCTGGAAGTGGTGCTCTGGCTCAAGCGGTAGAGTATTCACCTTGAGCTGAAGAGCACAGGGACAGTGCTCAAGCCCAGAGTTCAAGCCCCACAACTGACCAAAAAAAAAAAAAAGTCTCTTTGATACTTCCAAAGTATTTTAAAATTAATATGTTCAAAACTAATTATAACCAAAATTAATATATCTAAGCAGGTGACAGACCACCCCACTAAGTGGTAACTCCCCGACATCTGCACTGAACAGAATAGTAAGCCATCTTGCCAGTTGCCCAAGTCTAAACTAAAATTGATTCATAATTCCTTTTTTTTTCCTATTTCACATCTAGTCTTCAACTATCTCCCCTCTCCTTCTTTTCTCCAATAAATCTTCAGTCCATCTACCCCTGCTGCAGTCATTCAGTCCAGGCCAGCTGTTTCTTTTTCTTGGATAATAGCATATCTTTTTCTTTCTCTCTCTAATCCTGGAGCTTGAACTTTTTCTCAAGGTAGCACTCAACCAATTGAGCTATACCTCTATGTCCAGCTTTTTTGATCCTTAATTGGAGATAAGAGGCTCACAGACTTCCTTGCCTGGGCTGGCTTCTAACTGTCATCCTCAGATCTTAGCCTTTGGAGTAGCTAGCTAGGATTAGAGGCATGAACCACTAGTGCTCAGCTTTTTTTAATTGTCTTTTCTAGTGTTGGTCCTGGGGCTTGAACTCAGGGCCTGGGCACTGTCGCTGAGCTTTTGTGCTCAAGGCTTGTGCTCTAGCACTTGGGCCACAGATCTACTTCTGGCTTTTTCTTTTTCTCTCTCTCTTTCTTTCTTTTTCTTTTCTTTCTTGCTTGCTTGCTTTCTTCCTCTCTCTCTCTCTCTTTTTGGTGGCTAATTGGACATGACAGTCTTGCAGACTTTCCTGCCCATGCTGGTTTTCCACCACAATCCTCAGACCTCAGCCTCCTGAATAGCTAGGATTACAGGTATGAACCATCAGCACCTATTTTCATAGCAACACCTTCTTAACTAGTGACACTGCTTTTCTTTTGATACCTTTACTATCTTTTTGCATGCAATAATATAATTCCTTCCATGTAAAGCAAAGAATTTCATTTCTTAACTAAAGAACAAGAAGCCAGGAGCTGATAGCTCATGCCTGAAATCTTAGCTACCCAGAAGACTGAGAACCTAAGATGGAAGTTCAAAGCCAGCCTGGGTAAGAAAATCCATGAGACTCTTAAGTTATTAAGTTATTAGCAAAAAGCCAGAAATGGAACTATGGCTCAAGTGGTAGAGCACCAGCCTTGAGCAGAGAAAGCTTAGTGTTGTTGCTCAGGCTGTTTCGGAAGTGGACCCTGAGATGGAGCCCAAACTGGTCTGATTCCATTTTGAGCTTTGCCTTTGTTTTAGGGATTTTAGACTTGATGGGCCTAGCTCCAGAATTTAAAAAAAAAAATGCATCTGGTCCCCCTCCCCTGAACAACCTAACCCACCCTTGATTATTGAGTTAAAGACTGACCCATAAAACCACTAAGTTGTGGGTTGGGAAGGTGGCTCAGTGGTAGAGCGCTTGCCTTGCATGCATGAGGCCCTGGGTTTGATTCCTCAGTACCTCATAGGCAGAACAAGCCAGAAGTGGCGCTGTGGCTCAAGTGGTAGAATGCTAGCCTTGAGCTGAAGAGCTGAGGCACAGCACCTA